GAGTTATTTTAGTTTGAAACTACATGAGTGTTTTAATGCTGTAGAGCATTTATACATGAGTGATTTACTAGTCTGCAAGTTTAAGTTGAGGTGATGAATATTACATGAGTGATGTGAGATAGTCTGACAGCTGCAAGGAAGATTAACCAAATGCAACAACTTCTCTCGTGATGTCACTTGTAAATCCAGAGTGGTACCAGACCAACACTGCATGTGTCAACTGTCAGAAGATATTGGAGTGGTGTGTATACATGTACTATAATGGTGTGAGAGTGTATGTAGTTGTCCTGCAATGTACATATGTATAGTGTGAGTTATTTAATTTGTTGGTGTTGTTGAGTGTTGAAGTGTTGCCATGGTGGTGAGTTGTGTAATTGAGTGTAGTGATGGTCCAGAGGGTGTAGCTTCCAATCAAGTTGAGTTCCAGTGACGCCTCCAGTGGTGACCAAGGTTGAAATTGACCATAGAATCCAGTTCTTGAGCCATAATGGTTGATTTATGAGTGTATATATGAGAAAAAAGGTGTAAAAGGTATGTAATTTGTAATAAAAGAAGAAACTGTAAAATTTTTAAATGAGCCAGATGGCTACCCTTAAGGTATACCACACCATGGTTGTCAACTGTTGTCATCAGTTGAGTGCTGGGGGACGCTCAAGGGGACCAGGACAATATTCATCAGGGATATTGATATATACATATCATTCACATGTCACATTCTACCTTCCCGCAGGCCCTGAATCTCCCTGGGGGGTGAGCGGTACCAGGGTACCGCACCGCTTTCTGGCCAAATTCAAGTACCTAGTACCGCACCCAGCACCTCTGCGCGGGTGTGAGACAGGTGTGAGGGGTACCTGCCAAGCGCTACTAGGTACCTGCCACGGGTACCAAATGACTATCTTTACTTTGAGTACAATTGTGTATGGTATAAACCAACCCCACCCTGTCTGCAAAAGATTAAATCAACACCCAGGTCCTCCCCCTGGGGGCAGGGGGGCACATACACCAATACTGATTTTATTACAATTGTGAAATTTAATGAGTGTGTGGAGCTCAAAATTGTAACCACTGAATTTTTAACCCAGTAGTTCTTTTTTTTCTCAGTGCAGTGTGAAGGTTTTTGGACAGACCCTCCAAAAGCCATACCTCAACCTATAACCATGGGGTTAAACAAGGCATATCTATGTGTTTACACCATTCTGGTGCCCCCTTCTTATGTTGAACACCTATCTTGAGGTTTAATTTGAGGTTGCAAGGGGATTTTCAACACTCTGGAGGCTGAAAAGAGCTCAAAAAGCCTGAAAATACAAAAAGCTTGATATTTTGACCCAAGATTTGGACATCCTGAAAATCCAGGGTTGGTTTATGGCATCCGCAACTGTATGTGAAACTGGTCAAAACCAGTGCTTGGGGGATTTTGGCTCAAGAATACTTTTGAAAATGTATGAATTTTGCAGAAAACATTTGTGAATTTTGCCAGAATCCACTGCAATCTTTCTCCCCATACATGAAGTGTTTTTCCTTGGTTGAAAAGTAAGTCAACATTGTGTGGGTATGGATGGCTCCAGCTGAGGGGTTGTTGTCCCCCCCCCCCCCCCCACACACACACCCAGTCAAACCCACATGAGATGTCAATGAGTTTCGGAAGAGAACCTGCTGGAAAGACTGATACCAGGTGGACAGTCACCAAAGATAAATCATCTTTGGGGTGGGTACAATCTCTACTAACTCGCCGGGAAAAATAATACAAGCGAGGAATACTCTTTGTCTGTTGATGGACTATTCGCCACCCGACCTTCTTCCGGGACGTGGTACCTGGACTGCAAAGCGTCGGTATACGCGTCTTCGGAGACGGAGGCTACATACATGAACGCGATTCGAGCGGTCGCCTCATGGGTTCTTTCACTTTCACAGAGGCGGTTGACAGGACGAGAAAGTGAAACCTCGTCTCGCAGGGAGAGGAAGTAATGTAGTCTGACTTTTTTGGTGAGCTTGCAGTGATCACCAACCGGTCATTTCCGTTGCTGGACGGATTGATCTTTGTGGAGCAGATAAACTGATATGCTCGTGCCATATGTGATTTTCTCGACTATCACGCAGGCTGGGCCTAGTCGCTAGTGCCCACGACAAGTGAGACGGAGGTGTAATGAGCCGTCGGCTCAGTGCACCGAATCGGAACCCTATGAGCCAATGTCAGACCTGTCGCGCTTCAGGTGCGTTCAGCTGCACCTCTCAGGGCGATCCAGCATGAGAATGTGTTGCAGGTGAATTCCACTCGACTGTGTCGCTCATGAAGGGGACATAGAAATATGACAAAGCAATATTTGAGCTAGGTGAATGGGCGGTTGGTGACTGAAGGATGTTTTGAGTGATGTCACTGATGTCCCAGCTCCCACCTCCAGCACCGTGACCTCCGCTCCAAAACTATGTTAACTATGTTAACTCATCCCTGGTCGCTGTGTAGAATTGTCCAACATGGACAGTCGCGAGGCATTTCCGCAGCAGCCGTAAATACGAGTCCGCGATGGCCGACGGCTACTCATATTACATTCACAGCCTGACTCGCTCCGGAAGGAATCATCTTCTCGATTTCATCCGCAATTGGCGCCCACTCATGCTGTGTTAACCCCTTGATTAAGCTTTCCTTGGTACCGATAATGATATGGAGCACATGTAAATATGTATTCACATAGACAGCTAGAACCTCGGGGAGAAGAGGATCAAGGGGTGTTCGGTGCAACCGTGCGTTGTATCACAAATGATCCATTTGGTGTCTGCCAGCTTGATTGAAACTTGAGGTTGAGGCCTTGAAAGATGTGGTTATTTGGCTTTAAGTTTTGATTTGCTCAGCTTTGGTTGAGACAAACCTCTAAAGACTCACATTAACCACAATGACAAGGGTAGGTACGGGTGCTCCGCCGCGTTGCACATGCTTAATTATTTGTCTTTTGTCCTAATTCAGATTTGATGCGTGCACTGCAAGTAAAGACATCCATCTCATCTAGAACCGCGTGTATTCATCTGTTTATGTATGTATTTGTTTGCTCTCAGGATTCGTTAAGAATCAAGATGGAGGTCGGGCTTGGGGCAACCGGACTATGTAGGACCGTAGGAATACATATTTACTACACCTCTTCTGTAATATCTCAACTTTAAAAAGCTTGATGGTACACAATTCAGGTCGCGGATGGCATTATCTGGCATTATATTGCAAGATGTATTGAAAATTCAGTTCTTACAAATTCGCTGTACAACTGAGGGTCGTTCACAAGTCGCTTATTCACAGAAGCTGCTTGGTCACACTGAGGAAATCTGTGGAAACCTGACTTCAGGTGCCAGTGGTTGTGGACTCGCCGGTGCACAGGCTGAGCGTTCCCGCAATTGTGGGCCAGCCGGCGCGAATCTTGGGTGTCGTACCCCGGTGCACCCAGCGCGACATGATACCTAGACTAGATCCACACGTGCGATGCTTGCCTTCCCAGATATAGTTAGGAAGCAACATCCACTCAAATGATAATGATAAAACAGGCAGGTTGGGGTGGTTTTTAACTCCTTTCAAGCAGCTATGTAGCGTTATGTAGCCAGATGTAGGCTGTAGCCCCTATCCAGAGGCTCTTTGTAATACAAAATAAATACATACACCTACATAAGACCTATGTCAGTCCCGCGCGGCTGTGACGCCTAAGATTGCCCTTATTCCTGATCCAGCCTGTTAACCTTTCTACAGGCGAGGGCATTCATAAACTGCGTGCCATCCATTCCTTTCGCCTGCCGTCATTCCTTCCCAAATTACAGATCTTACCTGACTCACGTTGCCTGTGTGGCTCAAGAGAGATCAGACTTGGTAGCACATTCTTTCTAATAACCACGCAAGGTGCTTGAATTCTATCCTTTGAAGAAACCTAAATCAATACATGCGAGCACACCCTTTGGTGCCAGTCAACTTTCTTCTACCAAGCCTCGATCACCCCGATTGCTCAAACTCCACCCTTAGCCGTACTCACAAAACAATTAACCGTACTACTCATAAGTCCTTTCAGCTTCAACTGAGCGGATATTAAGAAAGATAAACCACCAAGTAAGTGCTCCTCTGGTCCTAGCTTACATCTCCATTCTATTGGCAAACTCAACCCAACATTGCTTTGATCCAGCATTCCTTATCAGAGCTCCATAAGTTCCCTAAAGCAAAACCAAAGAACGGTCAATCTCGAGCCCACGCAAGATGAAGTCTTCGACCATCACTCTTGCTGTCACCCTCGTGCTCTCATCCTCATCATCTATTTCGGGTATGCCGTACTACCTTGACTCACTACCCGATGTCTCACTGTCGGCGCGAGCCCCTGCCTACTTGATCAAGCGGTCTTTATTTGACGGTGAATCACCAGACCACTATAACGCACTTCTCAAACGAGAAAACGAGAAGAAAAAGTCGAGCTATTCCTGTAAGTCCCGTCAGTTGCCCTCATCCCTCGAAGCACCAAACTGAGTTTTTCTTCATTACCCTCTGGAGCCTCTAAAAATGATCAAACGGGGGATAATGGTGACGAAGAAGAAGAAGATGATGATGATGATGACTGCGACGACTCATCAGATGATGAAGTCCAAGACCCCACCAATCAGTACTACAAGATTGGCAGAAACGCTACGGGCGCTCGTGCACCAAGCTCCTCGTCCCCATCAAATTCATATAAATCACCTTCTGGACACCCATCGGCTCTCGGTAAATTTTATTTATGTATACTTAAGTAAACTCGGAGCTCTCATTACCACATTCAGCTGAATTTTGTGGTTACTTTACCCTCGCAAAGTCAATCCCACGGCGGAAAAGAAGCCGAGCAATACCAAATTCGAGATTTCGAAGCAATCGTCCAAACCATCAGTCGCTCCATTGAAGGCAGAGAAACATGTGTCGCACAAAGAGTCCTCATCTTCACAAAGCTATAGCTTTTCTTCCAGCCACGTGCATTATGGCGGAAGTGGGGGCGAAACTGAGGGATCGGGAAGTAGTTATCATGGAAAAGCTACTTTGTTTGTCCCCCTTACTATTTAGTATTCACAAGCTTAATCGTAGCTAATACCATTCTTCCACAGCTATTCCCAAGACGGCAACCCCGGCGCATGCGGTCAAACCCACCAAGACACCGATTTCATTGTGGCCATTCAGAGCCAGATGTACGGCGGCGGGAAATTTTGTGGTAAAACTGTTATTGTTACACGAAAATCGGTGCGTCCAGTATCCTTCCATTTTATCAGTTGTTTGGTGTGTTGATTTTCTAATTGGGAGGCTTATTTACAGACTGGTCAAAGTATTAAATGTATTGCCGTAAGTGAAAGTTTGAAAGTTTCCCGACATCTCATGATATAACTGAGCTCACGCGTCATGTGGCCCACTTTTCTGTTGATAGGCTGATGAATGTCCAGGATGCCCCACCGGCCAGAGTTTGGACCTATCACAGGCAGCCTTCAATGCACTCGGCCAACCACAGGAAGGTGTTTGTAAGTTAAGAGAATACCGAGATACAAAATCTTAGAAAGTGACCTAGGCTCAATTATGATACTCGAAAATCGTTTCCTATTGCAGTTGAGATTGAATGGAAACTCGCGGAAGACAATTAAGCTCAGGCACCAAGCAGTCACATGTTGACAAAAATCAGCAGTTCCCTATCGGGCTGGGTATCAGCACAATGAATTATGTTGACGATATCATCAGTCTCTATTCTTATATCTTCCATTCATTTTTTCACGATCTTCATTCCTGATACACGATTCAACTGTTTCTACCAATATTTCATCATCATTGTAGGACCAAATTCCTTATTTCATCATTACTTCGCGAGGCCCTTGTTGATCAATTTGGGCCATCTCATGGTTGATGTTGTTGCGAGACGACGCATGGTTGATACCAAACTTTTCTGTGTGACTCCAAATGTCATTAGATTGAAGTGTTGATGCACCCTTATGTAATGTGCCATGTCTTGAATCCATTCAGAGCATGCGACCCTTCCAGATTCCTTTCAGTAATTGGCCATCAACAATTCAAAATATTCCAAGATTTGTTTTTGGTTTGGTCAAATTGCAGATGGCCACTCAGATCAAGCTTTCTTAGTTTGAGAATTGGGGTTGGACAGATCATGATGTTAGGTCATTTGGGCTGACCTAGAGCATTTGAGGCAAATGTTCAGCAAAGTGAATAAAAATTGGTGAGTATCAACAAGTCTGCTGCTGCTAACCAACTTTAAGAAGCAGTATGAAAGAATTTTTAAATTGAAAACACACATGTGGTGCTCTGGAAAATTCTACAACATACTCCCCAAAATTCGGGTGATTGACCCAAACAATTATATCCAAAATTGAAGATAAAAGGATGAAGAGGTAGGAATTTGAGGTCAAGTGCTTGATTGCAACTAATATCCAAAAGATAATAGTAGTGGATGTCAGAAAATGAGACAATAGTCTGTGTGTCTACAATCATATTGTATAATTACAAGTACCATGGTGTAGTAGTTAACACAGCTGGCAATTGGTTGCTGCAGCAGCTTGCTGCAACACCCTGTTGCATTGGCAAGTGTGACTGTGCCAGTACCTGCAGTCACTGCACATGCAGGACCAATGCCAGTAATAGGTGTTGTAGCAGGCTGTATTCAAGAGCCAATTGACAGCTGTGTAATAATTGTCTCAAGACTGTATGGAAAGATTCTGTCTAACTAGTTAAGATGTCTTTTTCTACCACCAGGAAAAAAATAATGATCACTAGTTGATGATTGGTGACATCAGCCTAAGTTTTTCATGCTAAAAATTACATACCCAGCTCAACTCTTCCTCAGATCCCTGTAGCACACAAAGTGAAAGGGGATATTGTATCTGAGTTGCAGCAGATTTGGGGCTTCAGAGGAGCAGTGATCAAGAACTTTACATGATGTCACCTGCCATCCAGTGAGCACCATGAAAAATTTGAGGGCAGTACATTTCAGGTGACATGAAGCTAACTCCTGCCTGTATTCCAGTGTTACTGCAAAGTCAAAGGGTTGGGACTCCCTGATGACCACCAAGGGCCCATTTTTATTTGAGAAGACAAGCACCAGAGTAAAAATGGAGTTGTAACATATGTCACTTCATGCAGTGGTGGGCTACTACACTTTTGGCCCAAAAAGTGTAGCGTAGCGGCGTTTTTTGCGCCAAAAATATGTAGTGTTCATGTTTTTTTAGTGTATTTTTGCTACACTACGCTGTACTACAGGCCGCTAACAGCGCTACAGGGCCAAAGAACCTCTAACCAGCGTGTTAGTGTAGCATAGTGGGCCCTTTTTTGGGGCCTATGCGCGTAGTGTTAGTGCAAGGTGTGGCAGAATTCCACTAAACTACGCTAAAGTTTAGCGGAATTGCGCTACACTAACACTACATTTAGTGTAACTGGCCCACCATTGCTTCATGTCACCTGACCCCTACTGCCCTCAGATATTTCATGGTGGAGCATTTATTTTTCCTGGTGTACGTGCAGTGACACTGTAAGAGCATCTCTAACGGTCCGGGGGGCAGTTGACGCGCGTTCCCCGGCCCGCGATCACATTTCACACAGTCCGCGGGTCAGCTCCAATTATGGACTGGCTCTTCATGGCTATGTATCGCATGAACACCCCAACTCTAGCAACCAATCCTCCCCCCCAACTTCAATTAATTTCGGCACCATGGACGACATCCTCCAATGGATGGACGACGATGACGATCTCCTTGCTTCCATTCAAACGACAATCGGCTTGATCTTGAAGACAAAAGAGAAAAAGAAACGTGGTGGATCTACACCTGGCCGAAGAGAAATTCACCGGAACCGACTACAGGGACACCAGCAACTGTTCGACGATTATTTCTCCGAGGAACCTGTGTATCCCGATTATCTCTTCCGGCGCCGATTTCGGATGCGCAGAAGCCTTTTTTTACGAATTGTTGAAGATATCGAACAAGCCGATGATTATTTTGTACAGAAGCGCGATGCAGCAGGAAGATTAGGATTCTCAACTCTTCAAAAAGCAACGGCTGCTATACGAATGCTGGCATACGGATGCAGTGGGGACTCCATCGATGAGTATCTTCGTATGAGTAAGTGTGACTCCTGAATTTTTGTAAGATTAAGTATAACACAAATCTGATTATGCTTGATTTCAAAAAAGGTGAATCGACTGTGATTGAATGTTTAAAAAAATTTTGTCAAACTATAGTGAAAGTGTACAGCAACGAGTACTTAAGAAAGCCGAATGAAAGCGATGCAAAGAGGCTCCTGGCGGTTGCTGAAGAACGAGGCTTTCCTGGCATGATGGGGTCCCTCGATTGCATGCACTGGTGCTGGAAGAATTGCCCAGTTGCCGATCACGGACAATATACCGGTAAAGAAAAAGAGCCGACAGTAGTTCTCGAAGCAATCGCCTCCTACGACCTCTGGATATGGCACGCGTTCTTTGGACTTCCAGGTACTCTGAACGATATCAACATTTTAGATCGATCCCCAATATTTGAACATCTTCAAGAAGGCGAAGGACTCTCAATCTCGTATAAAGTCAACGAAAATCAATATAATCTTGCGTACTATCTCACCGATGGCATTTACCCGCCATATGCAACACTCATCCAATCAATCTCTGAACCACAAGGCGCAAAGAAGAAACATTTTGCAAAGATGCAAGAGTCGTACCGCAAAGATGTCGAACGAGCTTTTGGGGTTCTACAATCTCGATATGCAATCATTCGTTTTCCTGGTCGATTTTGGCGACACGAGAATCTCTCCAATATCATGTCAGCTGTCATTATTCTGCACAACATGACGATTGAAGACGAATCTGGAAGCGATTTTGATGGTGATTACACCTACCATCAAACAGCACGAACACAGGCATCAGTGACAACCAACGGACCAAACGACTCGTCGTTTGAACAATTCTTGCTCAAATACCAGTCCATCCGAGATCACACATCACACACGCGTCTCAAAAGTGATCTCATAGATCACCTGTGGAACAAGCACGGATCCGATGAGGACAATTCCCCGCGGTCTTCAACTGCTTGAATGTTCTTTGCATTGTCATTCTCACTTCTCCTTTATTTTAATCTTGCTTGTTGTTTTTTTCTTGCTTACAATATCTCTTCTTCTTCTTTATTTTAATCTTTCTTGTCGTTTTTTTCTCGCTTATAATGTCCCTTAAATTTTTTTTCTCGCTTGCAGGGTCACTTTATTGTTTTTTACTTTTTTTTATTTTTTTTATTTATCACTTGCAATTTCAATTTATTGGTTTCCCTTGATTATTTTCCAGTTTGTTCAAACAAGCAAGACAATCATTGGTGGACAGTGGAAACAAAAGGGAAGGCAAATGAAATATTGAGTTATCGATCAATCCATCCTAGAAAGATGAGAGAAAACAACTGCATCTGACTAAAGGAGAGAAACGATCTGATAATCAAAAGAAAAAAAAAGAACGATCCGATTATTCTTCACATTCAACAACCTCCTCCTCCTCCTCGTTTTCATCCTGTTCAACCTCCTCATCATCGTCCTCATCGACATCTTCATCCTCGTCCGCATCGTTCCCGGTCTCTTTTTGGTTCTGTTCCTCTTTCGCCTGTCTCTCCTTTTCCTCTTTCGCCTTTCTTTCTTTTTCAGTTTTCTCTTTCTCTTTCTTTTCCTTTTCTTTTTTCTCTTTTTCTTCCCTCTCCTTCTCTTCTTGCAACTCGCGGGCAATGATCGCCCTTTTCTTCCTTTGATAGTATGCACGACTCTCTGTGTCAAGCAAGGTGAGATCTTTTGACATAATCGCATCGTCCGACGTAGATTGTGCGGCAGCCTTCATCGATGACAACCGATCGCGCGAGATTTCAATGAGATCTTTCTGCATTGAAACAAGCTTATCGAGTGAGATCTCCTCCGTTCGTTTGCGCTTGGCTGCTTTTTGACCTTCGGAACGACTATTCCCCAGGACCGATCGACTCGCTTCGGACTCCTCATCTTCAACTTCAATAGCCGAGGTCGCAGGCGTAGAGCTGGGGATATCAGAAGAAGGGGGGGCTGCCCCAGATTGCTTGCCTTTTTTGTTTCGAGCTTCGTTTTCTTGCTGAGTCGCCTGCCATTTCGGGGTGTCCTTCAAGATTCCCCAGCAATGGTCGAGATTGAATGACGATTCGAAGGTTGCCTTGTATAATTCTTTGGCCTCGGTAAGCTTTGCGATTTTCTTGTGTATTAGTATATATATATATATATAATATATATAAGAGCAAGTAAGATAAAAAAAAACGTACCATATCTTCGCGAGTCTTGCCGCTTTTCATGCGCCGTTCAACATTTGCATAGCATCCAGAAAATTTGTTGACCAACTTCATGATGAGTGCCCAGCGACATTCGACCGCACCAACCGGTCGTAGCGGAAGTTCCTTGAACCCTTTAGAATTTTTCTTCTCTTCATTGTACTCGGTAATGAGTTCGGAGAGGGTGTTGTGGATTCGTTCCCAGAACGTCGATGCCTTCTGTCCGTTTCCGACGATGGGATCCCGGCTTGTGTTCAACCAAGCAATACACAATTTTTTGTCCTCTTCAACGGACCATCGAGGGAAACCCTTCTTGGGTGCAGATTCAGGGGCTTTCGGGGTGGAATCGTTGTTGATGTTTGATGATTCAGCTGGTTTTGGAGTAGTCAAAGATTCTATCGGTTTTGGAGCAGTCGGAGTTTTGGCCGTCGAAGTTTTAGCTGTCTTTGGAGTAGCCATGGAATCTTTTTGAGCCTTTCTTCCTCTTTTTTTTTTCGGAGAACTTGCCATTTTCGTGTGGTTTTGGAGGTGTAGATGATGTGATGGAGGTGTGTTCGATGGGTTGATGGAGGAGGAGGGATCGAATTGCGGCTGGGAGGTGACCCGCAGAAGTCAGCAGGTCATCGCGGGTTTGACTGCCCCCCGCGATGTTTTCAGGGTCGATCCGCGGGTCCGTTGGATGTTGAAAATTGAAGTCGGGCGGTCAAAGTTCGCCCCCGGTGGCCCGATCGCGGGTCCGTTGGAGATGCTCTAACTGGTTGGGTAGAGTTCTCCAAACCATCATTTTCTGTAAAGGGGGTCAATTGTGAAAGGAACCATAACCACTGAAAGCTGATAAATGGGGAAAATAAACAGATGAAGGATGAGAATTCACTGGATGAATGGGTTGCGGAAGATAAATGTGATATCAGGAGGCTATCAGACCATGGTTTACAACAAATTATCCTCTGAACTGATTAGGATTTATATTGAAAAAAATCTGATCTTCAATTCATGAAACAATTCTGTGATGTGTTTTGTTACCTCCTACTGGATATATATTCTCTATTGCTTCTTACAGTAACTGGTCTTTGGAATATTTATAAACCATAGATTTGGTGCAGACAAAAGTTCCTAGGCATGTATTTACTACAATAATTAAAAATTGCATTCAACAAGTTTTTGGATGTATCAAGATAAATAACGAGAGGATTGAAGGCATAAAAATACATCTATCAAAGCTGGTGGGAACATTTCAAAAAAATGAGATACAGAAAGAGACATTCCTTTTTTCGATTACTCCCATGAATTATTTCCCTATTTAGCACTGACTTCATGGATTAGGAATCAAAGCGAAAATCAGAGCAACGAGACTTTTAGAATGATCTAATACTAGTGGTTTATCATATGCGTGAAGAAGGCAGTGACTTTAATTAAGTGATGGATACCATCAGAACTTCCGGTTTGATGCCGATGAATCTGACGTGGGCGGATTGGATGGTTCAGGGTCATCAAATGAGTTCATGTCGATGGTGGCCAGGGAATACTTCGCAGGCATGAATTGTATGACATTCCCATTGATCCGGCTTGAGAGTGACTTCTCTGCTGGCTTGACTGCGACACTTGCTGACTTCAGCTCGAGACCAGATTGGGGGCTGATGAAAGGCTGACGATATTTCGGATCTGCAGGATCGGGGAGAGTGTTTTTCGAAGTATCTCCATGGTTTGATTCGGTAGCAGGATTTGGGGATCTGGCTCGAATGGCAAAGATATTGCGAGTCCACTAGTACGGGAAAAGGAAGGGAGAAAGGCGCGTCAGCGTTTTGTCGGCACTCAAATTAACTACGTTCAAAGCTGGACGTACACAAAAAACTACCGAGTCTACCAGGCCTACCAGAGTAAATATTACTCCGCATGCAATCTGGACGTCAAGAGACCACGTACGGCCAAAAATTGCTGTGATTCTATCGATCCCTAGTGGAAGCATGAGCAGCAGGTAACAAAGTGGGTAAACGAGCATTTTTTTCGCGGCGTTTTCCATGGATGTTTCTTCGACTGATCGATCATAGCTTGTTTGTGCATATTGAGTTCGGAGCCTTCGTCGAACGTTCCAGAATATCAAAGCATATGTTACTGCTGAGGCAGCACCTGCAAAGAATAGCTATTTTTGGGCGAAAGGGGTACGAAACGTTAGCCGTTAGGACAAAAAATGCGTTATATGAGCAATGGACATACCCAAACATAGTGCAAGCAAAGCCTCTGCCAAGGGTACGCGCTGCTGATCCAGCACCAAGCACCGGCTGGGCCATCTGGATAGCAAAAAAGGCAAGTCAGATCCGACTCAATGCCACAAACCAAGATAGTGAATACTCACAAAAAGGACCAAGCGCATCAGTGGCAAAGGCAAGCGGGCCAATCATTGCTAAAATGAAAACCAAGGCCCATTTCATCCCTAGCACTATGAGTAGAGCAGCAGTTGAAGGTGGTGTGCGATTGATAAGAACAATGAAGGTATGAACTGCTATGGCTACTGTGGCGAAGGCACCGCTGGTATCTCCGAGTTGAATGAATACTCCTTGAACGGTACAGATTGTAGAGTCTTCAATAATGGGTTTGCCAACGTGAGCAAGATTGAGCAAAAACCCCAGTGATTGAATAAGATCTGAAGCAAGAAGGTCGATAAAAACTAAAATGAGAATGTCGAAGATTTTATAGACACGTTAGCTGAGTGGCAAGAGTCTTAACGAGGTCCGGAGAATAACGAAACAATGAACTGACGGATGGCGAACTGGCTGCGCAGAAACTTGAGGCAAAATTCCTCTGAACCGATGACACTCCGAGACTTAGGATTCCACAGGCGCAAGCGATAGTATAGGAGAATGCCGATGAGAAGAAGTGTTGCCAAAAAGGAAAGCTAGCATTCAAGAATAGTACAGTGTGAGTGCCTAAGGAAGTTACTAATAGCAGCCAGTAGCTCTGGAACGCACCTGCGCTGTGATTGCAACAGTCTGTAGATAATGACAAAAGAAGTAATCGTGAGTCCGAGCTCCCCCTACAAAGATAGAGCTTGCACTTACTATTATACCACCTTGATGCCCCGAGATAACTTGGGGAGCCATGACCGTAAATGAGACAAAGCAGCTTTGGTTGATCAACGAATTTTTGAGAGGAAAAACCTGGTCCGCCAAGCTCACAAAAGGAGGCACGGAGGGGGGGGGGGGGTTCAAGTGAGTTCACCCCACAGAAAATATATACGAAGTGGTAATCAAGATTATTAAAGATTATGTGGAGGGGAGGTCAAATAAGCTTTTCAGGTGATTTGTGAGCTCCGAATGGCTGAGGGCAAGTCGGCGATGGTCAGTAAGCCGCAACCGCGTGAGGAAAAGTGGTGGACCCCGGCGAAGGAGTGAATCGCTTGTGTGCCTGGAAGACGGATAATAGCTTAATCCTCAAGAGATTTTGCGGGTATAGAAAGCTCCAGGTAGTAATTATTCGATAGAATGACTTGAGTGAGGCCGAGACACGTGTTTTCTGAGAGAAGTCAGAACTATTACCATTAGGCAAACATGGATTGTAGACTTCTGGTCGTTACGCACGCTGGAGTGGACAGTTCTAACAATGAGCAGCCTCCTGTTGATATCTTCTGAAGTATGTATGTACAATGGGTTACTGTAGACAAGTGCTTTTGACTCGGGCCAACTTTGGTGAGTTTGGATAACGCCAGAGTCATCTGTCTATGTACCCACCCTGTACGCATGTACAGCAAGAACTTCAGGGCAAACAAGGTCTTGGTGTGCCATTGGCGGGCTGTCAAGAAATCGGTGATCGGGAGTGTCGGGTGCTGTTGGAAGCCTAGCGGCCGGTGGAGTGTGTATCCTGTAGTCATTTATCACTCGCAAGGTCACGTAGTCTATTGTCTACTTCCTTCTAGCTTGCCCAGCCTCTCCGTCGAACGCACGAAGTGCGGGAGAGGCTTGTGCCAAAAACGAACACGCCCGCGTGTCGCTTTCCAGTTTTGAGAGTGTTTTTTGTGCGAAAAATTCTAATAAATTGCTTTCTTAACTTTAATAGAGGAAAAATCTGGCACAATGTATCCCAGATGCCAAAGTAAATTTTCATCAAGGAATTACCCAGAAACATGTACAACTACATTCTAGGGAAACTTTGTAAAGGTCCAAGAATCCGCTCAAATTTGTGTTTTTTGCTTATGTAATAGCTTCTCAAGGCTCGGAGCTCAACTTTAATTCTGATTTATTTCAATATTTCATATTTTTCAAAAATATCTTACTTGTCAGGTTTTCATACAAAATCTCTAAAAATTGGATGAGGAGAACCGCAACATGGTCAACTTTGACCATGCTGACTCTGCCCTCAAACAACCCCAAAGTACATGCATGGTGGGCAATCCAAAATTCCCTACACCAAAACATGTTGATAGCGACACGCGAGCTTGTGCGTATTTGTCACAAGTCCCTCCTTCGGAGGCTCGCTTCGCGAGTGGCGCCAGCCAGCCCAGGTCACCAGGCCCGCAGAAGCTTGGGACTTGGTACAAGTTAGTACTTCCTTCCACTCTGGCCGTTGAATTTATGAAGAGATACACTTGCATAATACACACATACGATCGCGGCGGAATTGGTGATGTGCTTGCTCCCTTGACAATAATAGCCGGTCGCCGGTGGCACTTCACAAGATTTTGCTTCCGCCAGGAGTTCAGGCACAAGAAAGTGTCGCTTTAGCCACAAAATCACGCGAGGTTAAGCAAGCACATGTTTAAGTACATGAAATAACGTACAAGAATGAGATAGAATGGACATTGAATTCGTGGAAATGGATAGATACATACATTCATCTTGGCAAGATGTACTGTGGTCCACTTGTGCACCGGCCGAGGTCCCCTCAAATTCCTAGGAAGGACAAACTGCATAAATAATTACACGTCTGCACCAAGGCAATCTTCAAGTCGAGGAATTTTTATGAAGGATCAGAATGGAAGCTCTCTATCTGCGGCCACGGTCCACGACTGGCAGGAAGTTCGAAAGTATTTATGTAGCATGGTAATCATTCTGATTGCTCGATATCTTATAAATATGAAAGATCTGTTAGCGTTAGCTGTACTAGAGTAAGGATCCGTTTGGCCGTAAATGTATGTAGAGCACCCTCAGGTACGCACAAGGTACGCAAATTACGATTTGAAATCCGGATTCAAGAAAGATGCAGGCGGAACATGAAGTCTTTTAATGCCCGTCGGAAGCTGGCCCGCTGAGGCTCATGTCCATTCGTCGTGAATTCTATACGGCTTAGCCTTCATTTGCAGGTGTTTGAAGCATTTTTTCATATTGCTGAATGATTGATATGATTTTGCAGAGTCGGTAGCTGGAAGGCCCGCTCTTATTTGCCCTGAAAGCGAAGTATGTAGATAAGACCTTGAGAAAAGTCCCTTGTGTTTCCCTGGATTGCGACAAACTCGTCGCAAGCCAGAAAAACTCAGGAGACCTTCTCGTCAAGTTAGTTATGAACTTATGCGGACAGTGGAAGGTCAGATTGAAGCAAAGCCCGAGTGTCTTTGCATCGCCCACTGCAGCGGGCCTAAAGACCATCTCCACGGACCACGCGAGTCCCTAAATTTTGAACTCACACATATCCCAGCAAGACATGAATTATAATGGCCATCCAGAAGATGAAGGATTGGAAGACGCAAACGCAAACAAAAACAAAAATGTAAACAAAAACACAAACACAAACACAAAGTTGACGGTGACAAACGCAAAGGCAAATGGAACAAGAACAAAAACAACTCAGCTTATATTGATCTTTGAGTTCCACCTACCACAGAAGATCAGTGAGTTGCATGGTGATGTTGGAATGTTGAAGTTCAACTAGCATTTTTCCCCCTGTTTTGTGATAATCACATACAACAACATGGGTCTAGGGGGGATTGGGGGAAATAGGAAAGGCCCTTTCACAATCCTAGGTGCTATGTATATATAGACCCTCTTGGTGTGATATTGCCTTTTCTTGGGGAGCTAAACGCGTGCCACAGTTGCACAATTGTTTTGAGACAGAAGACAGGGAGTAGTGATGACAGGATTGTGTAATTAAACAGGGGATGTGGTGTGTGGGGGGGAGTGGGACTGGGTATCACACGGGATATCTGTGATATGAAAGATAGGATCTTTGAGGTGAGTGCCGTTATCATCCTAAATTTAGGTCAACTATAGCTCCCTGGGTTGGTTTTCCTAAATTGCAACCACATTTTTAGTGCCTTGGTAGATGGACTAAATTGGATTTGGGGGACTAAATCTTGTCTAGCCCTGTGATTGAGTCCCCTGTTACAGATTCTCTCATGAGTCTAAGTGTCAATCAGACTAAAACAATACATGCCCATTTGTAAGCTAATTCCATTGGGTTTGATGCTTTCTCAAAACCAATATCCTTTACTGCCAACATAATTGGCTGGGTTGAGGGTGTCCCAGTTTAACTGGGATGTTCTCAACCAAGGTAAACTTGGTTGGATTTCAACCAGTGAAATATAAAATCAAGCTAGATACCTTGGATTTATATTTCATTGGTGTAGATGAAACCAAGTTTAACTTGGTTGAGTGCATCCCAGTTTAACTGGAACATCCTCAACCTAGCCAATCATCCTGGCAGTGTGCAAACAACAGCAATTAGCCATGATTCAAGTCAATAGGGCGTATCAAATATAACCAAATGCACCATTTTCTAATTGACTGGTTTAAAAAATCCACCATATTTTAAAAATGTTGGTTTTTTACTTAACCCCTTTGGGGGCCCATTAATGCAAAATTTGGTTTTTTGGAAAAGTAACTGGTTTCTAATGTTGTATTTTTTATGTTTGATATAACCCTCCCCCCCCCCCCCCCCAATGCAAAGGCAGAATTGAGGGTATACACTGTTGACAACCAAGAGAAACCCTCTCAAACACTCCCCTGGCCACTGAGAATACACGACTTGGAGGGGCCAGGAGTGTTCCTATCAGCAGTCAAGAGTGTGCTCTCGGCCAGCACTCTCAGCGGAATCCTCCTGGCCATTGGGGGCTCCTTGTATTTCTCTGATACCCAAACCCCCACTTAGCAATTTTAAACATATGCATGAAAAGGACAGGAGCAAATACTTGTTGATAAAGACTAAACCCAGGTTCAAAGACTAAAGGGATTTCAGCACTAGACAAGAGAAAAAATTCCACTCAGACACTTAAACAAAGTAAAAATTAATACTATTCCATCTAGACATCATTGAATTGACAAGGTTTAATAGATGAGGGTTTTAGGGATGATGTGGGTTTGTGAGTTGGCACCAAGCAAAGAAAAGAAGAAACCTCCTGACAGGGAGGATTACTCCTGGCCATCAAGATTGTAATGAGAGTGTACAATCTCAATGGCCAAGAGGATTCCTCTTGGCCATCAAGGCTATAGGTTCTTGATGGCTGAGAGGAATTCATATTCACTTTTCATCATATGCTTATAAAGAGTTGTCTACATTATTGTCTATTTATAATGTAGAGACAGAAACCTCAACATATAAGTTGTACCTTTCTTCATTTCTATGCTTACCAGAAATCCAAGAAGAGAAAATATTAAACACACCTTTCCTCTTCATCTTCAGATATATCAACATATCACTATCCCAAGATTGCCAGCTCTTGTTAAATAACCAAATCACTGTCAGAACTACGGCTTTGTATGTCTCACATCATCAACCGACTGTCACTTTAGCAACACCTTCTGACAGGCCCTATAGCTCTACAGCCCCACCCTGATGCCCATCATGAGGAGCTACACACACAAGTTGATTTTGTGCTGATAATAGGGGTTATCAAATATAGGAAATCCACCATGAGAAACCAGTCACTTTTCCCAAATGCGTCAATGGGTGCCATAAACACCAGCCCAAAAAACAAAGGCAATGTGTGCACCTTGCCTCGTTAAGTATAAAGGCGGTCCTTTGTACCTAACGAGGCAATGTGCACACGTTGCCTTCGTTTTCAGGCTGGTGAAAGGGTTAAATGAATAACCATCATGTTTAAAGAAGGCTTGATTTTTTCAAACCAGTCAATTAAATGCTGGTGGATTTGGTTATATTTGATACCCCCTAATGATGCGTTGAGGTATGTGAGTTTTTAAAAAAAAGAGTGATGTAGTCAGGAGTGCAAGTTCCACCAATTTTGCAGGTCCCTGTAAGGATCACCCTTCCTCACAAAGTCCATCAACACTTGCAGATCAGTCTCAGACAGGGTCAATACAAACCAGTTCCTTGGAGTTGGATTTTGCCCATCCTGAAGCCTGACCCCACAGAAATCTGGCTCAGAGCCGGGCTTCCCTGGATCTTTGACCTCATTTTTTATTGTGTATTGTTTGATAAAAAAAAGTGAAAAAAGGGGGTCCATGGGCACCAGGAAAAAACAAGAGTCACTTCTTGACAGGTGACATTGATCAAAAATTGTCTTAGCTCTGTTCCAACTACAGTTGTATTACCAGTGGACTACAATGGCCCCTTTGTACTCTGTAGGGGACTTTAATCACTTGCAAGGGGCTAGATGATGGGTAGCAGGATGAACTTAGCCTGGTGTCCCCTGTCATCTAGTGATCATTTATTTTTCCTGGTGGGGGGGGGGACTTTAAGCATTGTCTTGGCTCCCCTCCAGGGTTTATGTGGGTTGTCAGACACTGAGGCTGTAACCCATGTGTCTACAACCTGAACCTAACCTACAAGTACATGTAATGTAGTGCAGTGGTTAAAGACTGTGTTATGACTTGTTTCACCAACACACTTGGGTTCAAGTTCCAATTATGTAACTTTATATTTTTATTATTTTATTTTATACTTTTATGTTGTAAGTAATTCCACGGAATTACTTATGTATTTCCTTCTGTATTAATACTCATACATTAGAAAGATTATATATAAATATTAAGAAAGCTCAATCATCTCTCTTATAACTATACACTGTAATTAGAGAGATGACATCATTCTTTCTCCTTTGAGCTTGAATGACATCATTTCCTCCACTTTTGGTTTAAATCTTAATTTATATGCATATTTTGATCATTTATGATTTATATTCATAAATGATCATCTGTAGGCCTCACCGGTCTCACAGGCATATTGACCCCTGCCTTTGTAATAATTAAGGGGAAGGTCTTCTTCCCAGGAATCCTTCCCCCACAGATTACCATACAACCCATCTACCTTACATCAATTAGTGAGTGGGGTTTTTATTATAATCTATTAGAACTATTACCTACTTTCCCCTTATTTCCATCCATCCTATCTCATCCCTAGACTACAGTAAAGTCACTACTGTAGCCTAGAAGAGAGTTGTTTATAACTCTAAGCCCGGCGCTGCAAAGATCATATCACACACGTCCCCTCTAAAATCAGAGAGCTTAACCCCTCCGCTTTCTAGCTTCAAGGAGATGTTTCTTTTCCATTGGCTGCTAGCTAGTGCTAGCAGTTATAGTGTGACCTGTACCCCATCAACGCCTGGTCAGATAAGAGACCGGCGCTGACATGGGTAATCCCCGCAAATACCCCACTGGCTGGGGGTTTTGAGAACCCAACTGCATGTCTTCAAAAACTGATCTGGTCCACAGGTTGCATGGCTGCCTCCACATTTGCATGGTCCGGATTGGTGTTGTAATCTGACTTGATGCAGCACAGCACCTTGAGATGAGTTGGAAATGTAAGGGAACCAGACACTATTGCATCTCAGGTTCCAATAATCAGAAACCTACTCTCCACTCAATCACACCCCCCAAAAAATCAGGGCAAAAAGACAGAGCAGTCATTAGGATTGCAGAGGATCACCTCCAGTCACCACCACCATCAACACAAGTACTCAATTTCATATACCAAACACACACACACACACCACAAAAGCATATAAGAAAAAAAAACACTTCATGGACAGCAATGGGATATGTCATCAACATTTTAATCTTTCTTTTCATTGGTTCCATGTGAATATCAATTATGGATCAGCATGAGTCAGGAAGTGTAGAGAGAAAGAGAACAAAAAGTGGTGTACATGAGGTTGTGGAATATAATATACTAGTGTCAGTTTTCAAATAAAAATGATTCACAAAGCTCAAATTCATAGTTAGGACAACCTGCGACTTCCAATTTATTCAATACCCCTATTGCCAATGCTCCTTCAGCTTCCTCATCGGGCCTGTCAACTGAATTCAAAATTATAGCTTGGGAACCAAGATTCCGTGTCACAGCTTTATTGATTTTGGCCGGGTCTTGTTTTAAAGTGGTCAATATGACTATTTTACATACCAAGGTACTTAGCATAGACCTGCTAACTTTGGTTGACTTTCTGATTCCTGACTTAGATCTCTGTACACATGCATGGGTTCATCACCTTTTTGTAGCACCAGATTGCCTTTTTCTGATAATCCACAACCAAATGTTTTAAGCTAATCCTTTCAATACTGTGATCTTGTATGATTCCTTTGCAAGTTTGCCGATTTTGACTTCAGTTGAAAGGCCCAATGAGGAAGCTGAAGGAGCATTGTCCTTCATTGGCAGTAGGGGCATTGAATAAATTGGAAGTCGCAGGTTTTCCTAACTATGAATTTGAGCTTTGTGAATCATTTTTATTTGAAAACTGACACTAGTATATTATATTCCACAACCTCATGTACACCACTTTTTGTTCTCTTTCTCTCTACACTTCCTGGCTCATGCTGATCCACAATTGATATTCACATGAAACCAATGAAAAGAAAGATGGAAATGTTGATGACATATCCCATTGCTGCCCATGAAGTGTGTTTTTTTTCCTGGAAATAGGCAAAGTTTGCCTATTTCCAATAATTCACTGGAAAAGTGTTTATTTTCCTCTTCAGATTTTGAATTGATTCCAATCCCTAGTCGCACATTCTGTTCAAGGCTGTAAGCTTCAATCATTGGCCAGATACAAAGATTTCAGAGTAGCTTGTTCTGATCTAGGATATACCCCAGACTTGACCACTGGCACCAGTAATGTCTGCTGGAAGTCACCAGCAAAACATGACAGGATTGCCTGCATCACAAAATGTATAATAAACAGTTCTGCTGGCCGACTTGAGATCAACCCAAGATGGTATATTTTTATACTGGATTAGGATGAGCCAAATATGGTATCTTTCACCTTGATGGAGTGAGACAAAGTGCACGTGTCCCACAGTTTTTAACATACATTTTCAGGTACAATGGCCAAACAGATAACATTTCACATCAAAGGCTAAAGCCCATGTTACCGGTTGCAAATATGTGTTCCGGATTTCAAACATGTATATATAGGTGGTGAAAAGTGAACAGGACTTTAAGTTTATGGCCTGGTTGAAAGTTCACCATCTTTGGAATCAGGGCCGTGTTGAAAAGATGCAAAAGGCAATGGGTTTGTTGAACGGCTTGGGGAGGACCAGTCAAACGATGCAGAAAGTGATGATGCCTTTGGTGAACCGGTTAGGGAAGACCATGCAAACAAGAGGTGATAGAAAAACAGAGAATGGACAAGCATGAAGGGGGAAGGATCAGAACAAAAGAGTGAAAATATTATAAAAAGAAGCGCAAATCGTTGTAGTTTCCGCCAAACCCAGGGTCAGCAAGAGAATTAATGTCTCTTGCAACATTGCTAGTAGCGGTACCTAGTGTGGATGCAGATGGTTTGAGGATTAATGTTAAATTTTTTTAATAAATATATATATTCAGGTAATTACATAAGAAGAATGAATAAACCCAAGCCAAACTTAGGAAATAATACATGATGAGATAACTATATATATGCATATGTAACAGCACTTTCTCAAGTTGTGCTTAATCTGCTTTTGTGAGGTGAGCTTTATTTTGTTTTGTTTTGTGGTGAGAAGTGAATATGAGATGTTAACATTAATTAGGTACATGAATAAACAATAATGCTAACACTATTATAAGCAGAAGAGAGAAAAAAAAGAAAGTTGTTTGGGACTCAAGAGGACGCTTTACGCCGCCAGAGCAATGGAAGATTTGCCAGCAGATTATCAAGTTGATGACGAGGAAAGAAGCGCAATGCCAACCGAGCGTAGAGTTTGTGGAGGAGACGGCGCGAGGAGGCGATTGCGGCAGGGCCCCAGATGCAGGAGATAGTGGCAAGGGAAGCGGCGACGGAGAGGATGCGGAAGAGGACGGAGAGGATGAGGGCCTTTCGGACGGAGCGATAGAACTCCTTCATCGCCAGACTCGTCCACGAGATCTCGTTGTTCATGTAGTTGATCGTCATCTTTTGGCCACCTTGACTGCTGCTCCCTTTCTTGTGCTTCTTCCTCCTCCTCTGCTGCTGCTTCTTCTCCTCCTCATCCTCGGCTTTTCTCCCTCCTTCTAGCCCCTCTTCTTCTTCGGATCCGTCTTCTTCCATTCGCTGCTTTCCGATATTTATCATCTGCATCTGTTGGTGTTGTTGTTGGTCTTGACATCGCTTGATCAAGTTACGATATCGTCTTCCTAACAACCAAATCAGTGCATTGATATCCGGATCTAGTTTGACGATCGTAGAAGTAATCACATGGGATTGAACAACAAAAATACTTCAGTTTTTTTTTTTTTTTTTTCAAAAAAACAGAAAAATGGCTGAGAGATCAGACTGACGAGTAAATCGAGGAAAGATGCTAGTGATGCTCGGTGCAACCAGCGTGATTTCGCGCGGAGGTACGTTGAGATGTTCGAGTGACGGGGATTTGAATAGGTTGGGTTGGTCAGGCAGAGATGGATCAGAAGTTTTAAAGAAGGAGAGCAGATCACTAATATTATTGCATAAATATCGGAAAAGAACAGCATGTCAATCAATGTGCAGCACTGTATGTATATATATATATATATATATTTTCTTACAGTGTCATTCCCAGGGTGAGACCCCAGAGATTGAGATCGGGACGTGGTTGATGGTCTTCTTCTTGTTGTTGTTGTTTTGATGATGATGGTGGTGGTGGTGGTGGCGGTGAGGAGGTTCTGGTGAGTTCAGTGATCGGGTTATGAGGGAGCAGGATGGAGCGGAAGCGCATACTGCCGACGAGAGATCGCAGGAAGAACTTGATGAGTGGACCTCTTGAGGGGGCGAGTCTGGAGGAGAGGTCGATGGTCATCTCGCCCCACCTTGTCTGGGGGCCGGCGAGTGAATGGAATGGGACCCAGTAGGCCGCAGTGACTTCGGCGGGTTCGAGAGTCGGGATGGGGGCCCTGTTGGGATGGTGGGTGGATAGGAAGACGTATGGACTGAGGACCATGAGGAGTCGTTTGCCTAAGCTCGTGGTGATCTCCCGGTCGTCGAGTCTGCCTAGCTGGATGAACTCCTTCTCGGCCAGATCGATTCCTACTTCCTCCCAGGTCTCCCGCATCGCACAAAACAGACCATCCTCGTCCTCTGGCTCCATCCTTCCGCCTGGGAAAGCCATGTGGGCTGACCATCGATCATTGGGCCTGGTTGCTCGTTCGATGTAGAATAGTTCGGCCGTGCCGTTCTGGACCCATGGCTGTGAGAAGAACTGCTGTAGTTGTTGGTTGAGCTCGTCTGAGTGGTTTTTTAGGTTGTGAGGCTTTAGTGATGATCGTTGGAAATCTGATGTTGGGGATGATGAGCTTTCTGGCGTCGAGTAATTAGTGGGTGATGATGGTGTGGATTGCGAGTCGGGTGCGATTCGGATGACTAGAGATAGGTAGATATGAATGATTTCAGTGTGTGTGTTATATGTTTATGATAAGGAGATTGAATCTTACTGATGGCTACTGAGGCTCTTTTGGTAGTGCAGTTCTTCTGAAGTGGAGTTGTTGCTGTTGTTGCTGTTGTTGTTGTTGAGATGGTTGTTGGTGATGAGTGTTTGATCTGGAGTAGTCCGTTGATGATGTTTGGTTGGTGGGCCATCTCAATCTGGGCTTGCTTGTTGGGATGTTGGCTGACTGGGGGGGAGGTCAACAAGCCATGCACCCCACCCAGCTGATGAGATTGACCGGCAGCGCAGCCGAGGTGCACGGCGCGGCGGTGAATCAGCCCGGCACGGGGGACTCGGGAGGCGCTCGACAGCTCATTACGGAGACGGATCATCCTCACGGAAAGAAGACCGAACATTCAACACACACCCGGCGGGCTCAGAGAAGAGCCATATATAAACAATCCATTGGAAGCCCACATACACACCCAATCTTAACCATTGTACCTTTGATCAGCACTCTGCTAGTTGAATGCAAGGATATGTACTGCCATCAGTGTTTTTTTTGAACTGATGATGTTGTGCCGAACTTATGACTGGCGCCCGAGGAAAATCTATCAGAGCTTCCCGATTTTTTTGGACTCAGCGCTACTTATTTCGCTCTTCCCCCTTGAGAATGTAAACCCGCTGTGTCTTAAGCTTCATCTGATACACCTAAATCTTCAGGACAAAGACCACAAAACACCTCCTTGGAGAGGGACTTCATGTGTTTAACTCAATCAAGTCCCTCTGAATTCGGGACGCTGTCCGGGAATCCAGAGAGAGTTATTGATATTGTTTGCGATGAAATTTGGGATTTTCACCCTCGTTCAGAATTCAAGATTTGATGATGACTTGGTCCATAAGATTTATAGATTTCTTCCTCAAGATAACAATCTCTTGAGTCACAAAAACATAAATAAACATGATCCATCACATCCAAAGTCCACACAGATTGATCACAACTAGAAGCAATATGATAAAAAAGAAAATCAAGACACTCTTTTTTTGGGTATATTCATGTTAATGTTTTTTTTTTTTGGGTATAAAATGAAAAGGAGAAAAGACCAAGAAGCACGGGGAGAGCCAAAAGGCGAGATTGGGATACATCTTGCTCAGTTTGCACCGTCTGGGTTGGGTTTGTTTCCTCCAAGGGCGTTGCTGTTTGACCGAAAGAGTCGGGTGGGGGTTAGAAGGATGAAATGATTAAATCGATTTATAATAAAAACGAAGTATGCAGACGTACAAGTCCCAAGTGATGTCGGCTATGCTTTGCGAATTCTTTTCGGCAGCAGTCGGATTGAATGCGTCAAACAACTGGTAGAAGAGATCCAATCAATCAATCAATCAGTTAATTCTGGATCAAGATGTACTCTGTTCGCAGAGATATCATTATCTGCTCAAACGCTTACGTTTTGGTCAAGTGCAACGTTGAAGCATCCTACACTCGGATCCACTCCTCCAAAATCACAGCCTAACAAACAATCAAACGGGATAAGGGTTATAGATAATTATCATCAGCTGATCGCCAACCATTCCAGTCTGACCGAATTAACACATTCTAGAGACGCCCCGGCCTCAGAAGCATTTGACTTACCACCGATAATTCTGGCATACTTGGGATTGTTAATGTCATTTCGTCGTTGGATATAACTAGCATTCAACAGTTCGATCGATCACCAGGCTAGGTTAGTTAAGTAACTGATCCATTTGGAAGGCTTATTCAAAGCTCTATTTTTTAACATACACTTGTTTTCCACAGTTAGATTTGTTGTTCCTGTTGCAATCAAGCCAAAACCATTAGTTGTTTGAAAATCATTTCAATCGGGTTGTTAGAGCTCGTCGTAGGACGCACTCGTCGAGCCAACCGGTGCTAGTCTTCGCACTGCCAGCCCCGGCCCAGACGCATACACCATATTTCCAGGAAGCATCAGGATTCTTAGGTCTTTCACAACTCTGGAACAAAAAAGAGATCCAGCCCAGCGATAAATCAGACTCCGCTTTCGCCTGTTTTTTTGAACGAAACAGTACATTATTAAAACAATTGAAGTGCTTACCCAAGCTAACTTGGCCTTCTGGACGACCTGCAAAAAAAAAGAACCAAAAGTAGTGTGAGTAACTTGCTTTCGAACGAGTCTCGCAACAAAAAAAAAGGGTGACAAACCCCAACCGGCCTGTTGTTATCGTATCGGCGCTCCAATCCAGTCTGGACAGTCATCTACGAAGTGGAAGGTTTAGGATGAATGGATGATTAGTGGGATATACCAACGACTGATCAGCCAATAAAATAAGCCTATGAGACTTACCAGCCGGGCTCCTTCTAATGCATGGGAGGCCGTGTCCCCTTTACATCTATGGGCTGGGTCTTGGGAAGCATGAACACACAGGTCTTTCTTCAAGAAGTAATTGTAACATGCCGAGTGAGGGTCAACTGCAGGAGTCGTAGGACTTTTAGGAGTCATGGGACTTTTAGGAGCCTTAGCACCCATCACGCCAGAGAGCGCAAAGGCGACTAGAAGGATGGCAGTGGTAGAAGCTTTCATTTTAAGGATGAGGTTTTTCAAGTTTTTTTTCTGGATGTACGCTATTTTAGATGGGTTTATAAGAGTGTGCTGGTGGACGACACAACTTCGGCTATCGGTGGGCTCCTATTTATAGGCTTGCGAACCGGTGATGTTTGCGGCCGTCCAATGAATCCATCTCATCCACACGTTCTTTGGACATGTATTGCACTGATAATAGCCACACCTTCATTCAATCAGCCGCTCAAGGTGATCCTGCTACAGCTGGTCGAATACACCGGCCGCTGAGAGAGGCTTGTAGAATGTTCGGAGATACATAGGCAATGAGGAACATAGCTGGACATACGTCATACATCACCGCCATCGTCGTCGTCCAGCATGGGCGGCGGAACCACTTAGCCTATTGGGCTTATTCGCGGAATGTGCTAAACGACAGCTACAACATGTCATGGCTGGTGGACTCCTGCCGGGATTGGCTCGACTCCACCAACCTCTTGGCGTCACTGCCATCAGCTGCCCTCATGAAAATCCTTATGCCAGCCCGACAATGCGTATGCACATATGGATATCTCCAAGGCCGGCCGTCGAGTGCTGTCCATGTACGCTGCTTGTAGTCAGAATTCGAGCAATGTGGTCATTCGCCATGCGGCTAAATCTGATGATCTTAGGGTTTGGCCTTGTCATACTGGGGTCCACACCAGGTGGGTGAGCGTGTCCCGTTCATGTATTATCGCCGAGGTTTCTTTCTTGCAGGCCAGCCACCAAAGTTAAACTTTACTACACAAGGCACTTGTTGTATCGTTTTCTGGCTGTTGGTAACAAAGAGAAAGTCCGGTTTGAAGTACATAGAACATCACTTCGGACCCAGGTTATCACAAGTCCCTCTCCCAAAGGGGACTTGGGAATAGAGTCTAAATTTTGGCAGAAGCAGAATTACCCTTTTGGAGGGAGCTTTTTAACTTTTTTTAACAGCCCAGCCCCCCTTTTCCCCAAATACCTGAATCATGATTCATAACCATGTGGACCTGGTGAAGGTCAATCTGCTCTTCAATTTGGTGCAGGTCTGAACTCCTCATGACCAACCATTGTTTTTAAATAAACTTTTTGAAAATCATCAAATTGCCCTTTTTTTCAAAATGGAAGGATCCACCAGGATCTGCCATGCATCCACAAGGATGATTGCTTGTGGATCCCATCATCTGCAAGACATAAATCATATGCATTGGCTAAGTGACCAAGTTCAAAAGTATTGTCTTTTCCAAGAAGCTTGGAACTTTTGCAAGAAAGTTTTTTGTGTTATGCATTAAGAAAGCTTGCAAATCCTGACTTATCCAAGCGGGCCAGACCGACACACCGCATGGTATTCGGTGGTTCCTGTCAGGAAAGATTTTCAAAGAATGTCACACACATCATCACGCATGACTACTGCGGGTCACCCACCGCTGGCGCTGCCTCACGTATTGGATGAACACACTTTCACTCGTGCACTCAATCCGTGCACTCAATCACCTTTCCCCCCCTGCCTCCTGCCCAACCCTTCCATTTGTTCCCCCCTCTGGCTCAACCCAACCCGTCCGTCTATTCCGACCTCATTGTTTGACCTACGATTCTGCCCTCCAATATGCCATATTGACTCATCTCGCCCGGGATCAAAATTGCGGTTGTTTGGATGGTTGCCCAAGGATACACCCAAAAGTTCATCTGCGAAACACTGGGCGACAAGATTTCCAAGCAATCTTTTGCACGATGGGTGCAACTGTATCGAAACACTCAACGTGTCATCCGAGATCCGGCCGAATATGCAAAGAAAGGCCCCGGCCTATTGCTGACTACAGAGGACCAGTCCTTTATGATTGAATTGCTTCGGATGGAACCCGGATTATTCTTGGACGAGATTCGGGAGCGGCTCTATGATGAAACTGATACCCTTCTGAGCATGACTACTCTCCATCGTAACCTTGTAGAGCACTTGGAAATCACCTTGAAGAAGGCCAACACCGTTAATATAAAGAAATCCCTTGTCGCAAAGTATGCATACGTCGAGAAGATCGCCTCGGTTCCGGCGGAATTCCTTGTCTTTTCAGGTACGTTCACAATTTGTAATCTGGGGCGCTGTGGATGATTCATTCATGTTTATTAACCTGTTTTGATTTTCACGAATCATTGGGTTTTGGATACAGACGAGTCATGTATATGCTTGAGGGACTTGTTGCGAGGGTTTTCTCGATCTTCCAAAGGCAAACCAGCTGATCGAACCCTGGTTCAACAAAACGCGAAGCGATTCACTCTCCTGCCTGCGATCAGCATTGATGGGATTGTCGCATTAACGGTCACCGAGGAGAACGTCTTTGGGACCAATTTTGCGCACTTTCTCAAATACATACTTGTAAGTAGCCTGATTGCTTTGCTTGATAAGGTTCTTCTCGTGTGGGCCGGCAAGCACATTTGAACGCTCTTCCATCCTAATCCAGCTTCTGTTGAGGTGTCTGATAGTCTGCTACCATGATGTATCACTACATGTCGAACCATGAGCACTACCACCCAACAACCCCGGCAGTCACAAGCGTCTGTAGCCTAGTTGGTAAAGGCAGCACTCTGGTATGTGTCTCAGCTTAGCTGAGGTTGTGAGTTCGACTCTCACCAGACACATCTTCATTTTGTCTGTCTCTACAGGTTATGAGCCCAGAGCCTACCTAAGCGCAACCCGCTTACAACAGAGACCAGATGAAGTTGTGAATGCTTACTTGTAAGACCAAAACTTCCCCTGTAAGACTACCTAAGGTCATGGGTTCAATTCCCACTCTGATCATGATTTGTTGGGTCTCATTCCCACTTCCACATCATGTAGCAAGGGGGGGTGTTGAGGTGTCTGATAGTCTGCTACCATGATGTATCACTACATGTTGAACCATGAGCACTACCACCCAACAACCCTGGCAGTCACAAGCGTCTGTAGCCTAGTTGGTAAAGGCAGCACTCTGGTATGTGTCTCAGCTTAGCTGAGGTTGTGAGTTCGACTCTCACCAGACACATCTTCATTTTGTCTGTCTCTACAGCTTCCGCGCATGAACCCGTATCCTGGGACCAACTCGGTACTTGTCCTCGATAACGCACAAATCCATGGTGGCAAACGAGTGGCTAGATTATGTCGCAACGCGGGCGTTCAACTGGTGTATCTTCCAACCTATTGTCCTGAGCTCAACCCCATCGAGCTGCTTTTTTCTCAAGTCAAATCAAATCTCCGACGATCTCAAGCATTGGCCCGGACCTCAGACCCCCAGTGGACGATCGAGTCGACTACCTATTGAATTGGCACTGCTGTGCTTTGTCAGAAGCTGTTCCATCATGCTGGCTACGCACCGGAGACTATTACTGCGGGTCCCGACATGTCTGAGTATCATTTCTGTGAATGATACTCAATTTACAAGGACAAGGAAATATTTTTTCTTGCTCAGATACTGCTACCTATGTTAATTTCTTTTTGTTGATTCTGTTCAATCTTATCATCCGGTGTGGGATGCTGCTTGTTCTCTCACTCTCCTTCTGTTGACCCACTCTAGTCTTTGACTCACTTGCCTGGTTTGGTTATCTGAACCGCTCTTATTCTGGTCAATATGAAAATCCTTTTCCTTTGCCGCAATGATTTATACTTAACTGTACAGCGAGTTCCATCAGCTTGTTTTGTCCGAGACAAGAGACGAAACAAGCTAAATGCTTGGTGCTCTCTTGGTTATAGTTAGAGATGGGCCCGTCGCATCCGGATATCCGTTCGGATTCGGATATCCGCTCGCGTTTTCAGCGGAATCAGACATCCGCATCCTCCAGCGGATACCCGCTGGCTCTGGCGGGTATCCGCGCGGATATCCGCGGATATCCGGCCCTTAAATGACCCCTAGGGTGCAAAATGAATGTTACGTGGGGAAATTTCAGATTTGGGGGGCTGCATAAACACCAATTTTGATGTCCTGGTAGCCTGCAAGCCTTCAATTTTTTTTTTTTCTTCCTTTGCTGCTTGCACTGCCAAAAAATAGTTTTAATTTTTTGTTTTGTTTTTTAATATATAGATATTTCCTTTTTATTTATTTATTTTATTTTATTTTTTTTTCTTTTTGTTTTTCTCTATTTTTTTTTTTCTTTTGTTGCTCACAGCCTGTGACACTCCCAAAAAAATGGAAAAAATAAAAACAATTTTTTCTTTGCGATTATTTTTGTTGCTTAAGTTGCAGCCAACTCGTGTATGACTTGTATTTTTGAGGTGAACCAGTAAGAGTGACAGAAAGCAAGGAAAGAAAGAGAATCAAAAAAATTTTAACCCGTGTATGACATTTGTATTTTTTAGGTGAACCAGTGAACTGTGAGAGTGACAGAAAGAGATTGAGAGGAGCAAAGAAAGAGAATGGAAATTTTTTTGTTGCTTGCAGCTAACTCGTGTATGACATTTGTATCTTTGACGTGAACCAGTGAGAGTGACAGAAAGAGATTGAGACTTGAGAGAAGGAAAGAAAGAGAATGGAGAAATAAACTAAAATGAAACTAATATATAATCAATCAATGACGACAGCAACGGTTTGCGTGCCACGAGCACTTGGAGTTTGACTCGCACCAGCGCTTTGACTCCCACCAGTCCTCTTCGCGTTAGTCCTAGCTTCGTTCTTCTTTTTTTCCATGTATTCGTGGAGCGCCAGAGGTTTGATCTTGTTGTTCTGTGAATAAAAAGCCAACGCCATACCTGTACTTACTGATTGTGGGTGGAGATTGTGTCGCCTAGTGGTGACATAGTCTCTACCAAAGCTGAACGTACGCTCTACGTCTACCGTTGTTGCTGTGCAAAAAGTCAGAAACAATGATCAGCATTCTGATTTTGAGATCACTGATTTACTGTGAGTCTTGAGTCTTACCTGGACAACACAGGACATCAAGGGCCATCTGTTCAAGGCCTTGATGTTGATCTCCACTCCGTTTTTGCTCCGTCCACCACTTGAGGGCATCAATCGGTCGCCTTTTTTTTCCAAATACAGGGGACCTGTGAGCCATCTGGTAATGGGGTCACTCGAGGGGGCCGCAATTCGAGCTTCAGCAGCATCACCTAGACCTGCCAGGACCCCAGGTTGCGGCTGGTGGAGGATTTGATCAGTTGGTTTGAATCAGAAGGGGGCAGATTAAATGGAACTTACCCATTCTGATTCATCTTCAAGTTCTTCTGCACTTGGTTCTGATTCCACGTTTCGAGGTTTGTACCACTTATTGTACATCTCGCGGGTGAGTTTAACTGCCTCATCAATCCATTCCTTAGGCCATTTGGCCAGCTTAAAGTATTCGTCCTTGAAAGACGGATGGAGAACTGGAAATTCAGAGATAATATTTGTTAGTGGCCAGGAATGTCATATGTAATCACATGAGAGTTGAAGAAAAGACCTACTCATTGCAATTCTGTATAATGGAGAGCAGTCAGTCAGTGAGTAATACTTATTGGTTATGCGAAGGCCAGCGCGACACGCATTTCGTAGAGCTGGAGGGTGATCTCGTTCTGAATCCTGTTTGGCAATCACGGCGGCAAGGTTGGATGTGATTTGATCAATCATGAGAACGACCTCGGCAATCCGGGCCGAGGCTTTGGTTGACAATTGGAGGGTGATTTCGTAAAACGGTCGGAGAAGTCGAACCAAGTCCGCGGCTAAGTCAAAGTCCTCTTGTTGAACGTGATAGTTACGGGGCATTCCAAACTGCTTATCGCGCTGCCACAAGACACTTTCATGAATAGAAGGTTAGTTTGGGTAATTATTGGGGATCATGATCTGATAATGATTAGACTTACATGGCTTCCTCACATCGGACAATACTCGACAGTTGCATGTAAGTCGAGTTCCACCGAGTCGGGACGTCACGCTCAATGGTGTGGGGTTTCTTGCATTGAGCTTCTTCACAAATCTCGATGAATTTTGCCTTGGAGTTCGGGGACTTGCGAAGTTTCATGGCAATTCGACGGAACTGCCAACAGTGGATAGAATCATTCCAGTGAGAGGTGATTAGAGAATTTGATAAAAGATGAACAGACTAACCTTTGTGAGGGTTTGGCGACACGAGTCAGAGGTATAACTATCTTTCGAGTCTTCTCGTTCAAGATCCTCAAGATTGTCTAGAGTGAGATCATCGTCAAATGCTAGTTCTGGATCCTCTTGGTGGTTATCTTCATCATCGTCCAAGTCACAGATCTGTTCCTCTTGATTGAATCTAAAAATTTCCAAGTGTTATTTAGCTTCTAGTGTCAAAATTAAATGCTTGATTGAAATTTGAAACAGCTTACCTCACAATGCGTTGATGCTTGTCCTCTTCTTCATCTGAGTCATCAACCTCAGGCGTGCCAGCTTGGAATTTCTTACGAGTGAACGGTCGAAGTATAGCCTTGACGATAAGATTGACAATATGCGCAAAGCATCGGATCCACTGCGCCTCGCCCTTGAATCGTTTCCAATCTAGTCGTTCCAACTCCGAAATCATAGTCTCATTGTTGCTTGCATTGTCGGAAACAATACCACAGATCTATTCAGAGTTGAAACAGGGTCAGATCACAGACAATCAAGGGTGAACAAAATTGGTACACAAGGGGGGTGGAGACCAAGAAAATCTTACGTACCCTATTTTATAATCCAAATTTCTCAACAACACATCTTACCATTTCAGCCAGGTATTCGCCTGTGTGCCTTTCCTTGAGCTGCACAAAGTCCAGGGGCATTGCATCGAATTTCGTATTTCCGGCGCCATCGTCCAGAAGTCGATAGACCACGGTGCCCATAATATCGTATCCATTTGGAGATTGCCACGCATCAACACCCAAGTAAAGCGCCCCCTCATGCATCTGAATAGCACAAAAAATAAGTATGAACTGCGGTCAGTAATCAGTGATGTTGGATGGAAAGAAAATATTAGCCAACCAAATGTCAATTACTCACCTTTAACTCCTCACATAGCTTCTCCTGAACACATAAGTAGAGGGTATGAACACCTTTGGAAATCGTCTTTCGACTCGGAAGGTGCTTCAAGATTGTCGGATGAAGGATTCTCTTCAGGCTGGGTTCTTCAAAGGCTGAGAATGGCTTTGCGGCCTCGGCACACCAGATGACACATCGTTGCAAAACCTGAGGAAACATTTCAGGTAACAATTAATATATATCCAAAATGGAAAAGCACTAACCTCCCATGGATCAATATCACCTGTCCCCGATATGCCAAGCGATGCAAGTGTCTTATGATCCGAGGGATTGTTTGCCTTCTTTGAGCATCGAGCAACGTGTGTGAGAAGATTCCCACATGAAGACTCGTGCGCAGGTCGATTAATTTTTTTCGAACAGCTAGTTATAGTGTGAATTCATTTAGATAATAATGATCAATGAAAGATTTTGATGGAGATGGTTTTCTCACGTTTTACATTTCCAAGCTATCATGTACCGATCAAACTTGTCCTTCTGATCAGACATTGTTGGTGCCTCATAGGATGCATAGGCAGAGCTAACTTGATTATGAGCCAGCTTCATTGCATGTTCTACCTAATCAATTTCATTAATCAAAAAAAAAAAAACCAACAACAAAAACATGACAAAAATAGGCCCAGTAGATTACCCAGACGCTGCTAATCCGCTGAATCAGGTCCTACAGGGTTAGCACCTGAGGTGGCTGACTCTCCTTCATTGGACTCCATCGGAGGTGGCTTGCTTGAGTCCGAGTCATCACCTCGTTCAATGCGTCTTCGGATCCTCTTAGATCGGTGTTCCATGTTTGAGTTCCCGGTGATTTGATTGATGTTTGAACTTTGTTGAATGGTAATCTAATGAGTTAGCATTAGTGAGGATTGAAAAGAATAATGTCAATTAAATATACCAGATTTCATCAGAGATTGGGAGGGGAAAGAGCAATACAAGAGGTGTGAGTAAGCAAAGTCAGCTTACTTGTTGAGTATATAATGAGATGATCACAAAGCAGGGGCCTGAGAGCAAAAGGGATGGGGAAAATAAACCAAAGAAATTTAATCAGTCAGAGTGGCAAACAACAAATGGCAGGGGGGTGAGAAATGAATTATGAGAAATGAAGGTGTACTTGAAAGGATTGACTTACTTGTAAATTATGTAACGAGTTAATGAGAAAGAAGGAGCCTGACAGACATAGAATATGATCAAGAGGGAGGGTTAAATAAATACAAAGGGGGTGTTGGAGTTGGCAAGGAGGAAGGGTTAAAAAAAAAGACAAGGGAACAGTTCAGTTTTCATTACTAACAAAGGGGGAAAAAGATGTGGACTCACCCTGGTCAAAAAGCCTGGAAGGCAGGTTGGAGTCCAAAAAATTAGCCCCAGGGGGTGTTGGAGTTGGCAAGGAGGAAGGGTTAAAAAAAAAAGACAAGGGAACAGTTCAGTTTTCATTACTAACAAAGGGGGAAAAAGATGTGGACTCACCCTGGTCAAAAAGCCTGGAAGGCAGGTTGGAGTCCAAAAAATTAGCCCCAGGGGGTGTTGGAGTTGGCAAGGAGGAAGGGTTAAAAAAAAAAGACAAGGGAACAGTTCAGTTTTCATTACTAACAAAGGGGGAAAAAGATGTGGACTCACCCTGGTCAAAAAGCCTGGAAGGCAGGTTGGAGTGCAAAAAATTAGCCCCAGGGGGTGTTGGAGTTGGCAGCAGAGGGGGGAATCGGCGACGAAGCGAGGATCGGAGCGAGGATCGGCGACGTAACGATGATCGGCGACGGTGGGGGAATGGGAACGGATGGGCACTCGCAATCGGACCGAGACGACGAGGCCCTGAGCCTAAAAAAACCTCGAGCGACGACGGAAGACCACGATCGACGACAATCGGGCGTGAGAAGCGCTCGGTGTCTGTTGGCCGGCCAAAGGACAGGTGGGGGTTGGTCAGCCCGCGAGTCGGAGAGGACAAAAAGGGAGTGAAAAAGGGGGGGGGGAGGACTTACCTCCAAAGATTAGGAAACCTGTCCGCGGTTGCGGTTTCTTCCGGGCCGCGGTGGGTGTAGTTGGTTTGGAAAGCGAGGGGCGAAGGGCGGTGTATCGGCCGCCGACGAGGATGAGGAACAGGTGGGCCGTGGATCGGCCGCCGAGAAAGGACATGGGTATATCCCAGGGTCCAGCAGCCGAGTGGGGCCGCAGCTGTGGGCTGCGCTACGCAGCCCACAGCCGCGGCCACAGGCACCTATATATGATCGGGTATCCCAAGGGATACCCGGATATCCGCCAAGATTTTGGGCGGAAAATGACATCCGCACCCGAATCCGCACCCGCTGGCGGGTATCCGCTGGCCCTGGCGGGTATCCGCCAGCGGATAACGGATATCCGCAACGGATTATCCGCGACCATCTCTAGTTATAGTTACACGGTTACTTAGTGAGCAGGGATTGCTTCAAAGGCTCCCAGTGTCAAACCAAGACTAAGGCCCATAATTCCCTGGAAGTATTGGAGGCAGGCTGGGGCTCGCAATCGCTCATCCAAGCGAGGCTCAAAGACACAAACCAAGTCTAAGGACATGAATTCCTGGGTGTCCGGCATGGGCCCACCGCTCGCGAAGCCCCATTGGGGCTGGTCAGAATCGGACCGATCCATATGACCTCCTCACCGGTGCCTTTTGGCCATGGGTCTGGGTCTGCAGAGTTCAATATGATGAGGCCCAACCATCCCCTCCTTGCGGCCCATGACACCCATTGGAGCTTATCTGACACCGGTCTCATGTGTCTATGGATGGCGTGAACGGTCAACCATCCATGAGATGGGTGGGTGTCAGTGGGCACCCACAGCGGCACTTGAATCGCAGTCAATCATTTCGGATCGCAGAGCGAGGAACTGTTGGCTTAAAAAGGGCCAAGGGGAGGTGATGATCCTCCCTTCGGTCTCCATTGCAAAATCATCAACCACAGCGCTGTGTTACTTTCCCTCTGTTGAGTTTCATTCGTGTTTAGTTTAGCATGCCTACAGTCTCCAAAATTCTCTGCCCGGAGACACAATACGATGAGGATACCTTAATAGATAATCCGCCTCGAAAAGCCCCTATCTGTTTGGATTTCTCCCTATACGTCAAGAGCGTCAACATCCCAGACTTCCCTCATGCCAGATGGGCCAATGCTGGGAACGGTTGGGTGATCATCTCGCCAACCCGTGAACTTGCAGTCATGCCAGTTGACTTGCAATCGATGACTTGGAGCCACTTCCAAGGCCTGGCCATTCAGCACCTTGGTCAGCACCAACCTCCGATGGCGCGCCTTTTGGGGGCAGCCCACAATAACGGGGCGCTCCTTTGGCAAGCTTTCATCTTGGGCAATGTCCAGTTCAGTCAGAAGAACAAGACAATCATCCATGGGCCCAAGGAGTTTCGGGTGTTTGCCGACCAAGCTTACCACGAGTTTCCGAACCGAGTGTCCTTCAAAATACTCATGTTAGAACCTCCGGGGAACGTGGTCGCCAAAGGCGCTAAGGTGAGGCACTCACACATCTGTGGATTTAAAGACCGGCCCCAGGTTAAACACAACCTTCTTCTATTTGTTCCTTCCAGGAGAGCACCGACAACGACAAGGCCCCGGCCGGTAAAAACGATGGGGTCACCAAGGCACCCGCTGCAAGGACCCGCATCCGACCAACTAAGAGCAAAGTGGGTACTTCTGCGCCCAGCCCAGCCACAGTTGTGATAATTTTACTGACGATGACTAAGTCTGACTACTACCGCCCCAAAATTAACAGCAAATCACCGACGTGTTGCCCGAAAAGAGGGGCCTGATTGCGGAGGACGGATCAGCCGCGGTGGGGTCTACGAGTGCCATGTCTAACCACGTCGTCGAAGGCGAGACGGTCCCGTCCGATCGCCCTGCAAAACACGCAAAGAAGGTCAAAACCCCAGTCGGTCATGACACTGACGAGATCGAGGTCATTCGTGTGCCATCGGCGGTTCCACCTGCCACCACGCCTTTGCCCAACAGTCATTCAGGCGTCAACCGAGTTCCCTTGGGCCCTGAGAGCCCCCAGTTGGAGGCAGTAGATATGGAGACATACTTGATGGTCTCTCATATCAGCCCGACGGATCAGGCCACCCGCCGTCGCTTAAGGACTCACGGAATCATCCACTGGACCTTCTTCCGGGCGACATCCGAGGCGGAGTTGTTAGATTTGGGCTTCACTTTGGGCATAGCCTGTTTGCTTTGTGAGGGGGTTCCTCGATTAGAAGCTTACGTTGCCGAGAGATCGGTCCCCTTATAGTTAGTTATCAGGTGTGACTTCTTCCGGGGATTGCTTATATACTGTTAGTTAGTTGTGTCCAATGAATAAACCAACTGCGCATGAGAACGACACCTCGTTTGAAATAAGATCACTCATTAGTGCTTGTGCTTATTGAGGCCCCTCGCATTCACACCTGAGCCCTTCCAAGCCTCCGTCTGTCGAGCACCTTTAATCACAGGACAGGCAGGGGCAGGACGGAAAGAATGAATTGCCAAAGAAATTCAGACAGCAGAGAGTGAGACATAACATGAAAGACACGGAAAAGAAAAAGATCAACCTGGTTTTTTTTTTTTTTGTTAACATTTCCGGCAGGCAGAGATAGAGGCAGTAAATGAGTAAATGGCCAAAGAAACTGAGACAGCAGAGAGTCCTACGACTGGAATGACACCTTATCCAACGCCGAGAGAAAACAGAGGCATCACAAGAAAGACACGGAAAAGATCACCCTAATTTTTTTTTTTTTGGTTTTGTTAACTTTTCCGGCAGGCAGACAGATAGAGAAACTGAGCGGCAGGCAAAAAGAGGCAGGAAGACAGATAGGACCAAGCACAACAACCATAACAAGCTAATTGTTTCTTCTGTGAATTTGAGGTGAGTCGAGATATATTGAAGTAACTTGAAATTCTTATGAACTAGGGCCTACTCATCCAAAAGTGATTGATGTCCCACCTGTGAAAACAATGAACCGAGTCACTCTCTTGGGAAAGCCAGGCTTTGTTCGTATCGAGCAACATTCCGACAGAGTTTTGCAAGAGTCCCCACCGGAAGACCTAGGGTGTTCAGCTGGTCGGGGGTCATGAAACCATCTTGAAACATATCGTACGAGTCAACCCCATGACGAGCCAAGACTCCCAAGGTTTCCTCCTTTTTCGCAATGCCGGCAAAGTCGAGGTAATCACCAAGCTCGCCTTCACCACGAGCCACCCCAACCGGGGAGCCCGACAAAGAAGGTGAGTGCGGCCGTTTCCGCGCCAAAGTCTGGTGACATATTTCGACCACCTCCGAGACCATCTCCGGAGTCATTGCCATCACATCCGAGGTGCTTGAGGGGACCTCAGCTGGCTGAGGGCCCCCCCGCGCTTGCGACAGATTGGAAGCACGAGTTTTCTGATGGTAATACTTGAGACACCTTGGTGGCGAGGTCAAACTGACCCCACACTCCTTTGCTTGCTGGGACAATCAAAGCTCATGTATGTCAGCCGAGCCGCGGTCATTCATGGGTCAGACTCAACCAAAATAGGCAGTCCTACTCACAATAGCTCTTGCCCAGGAGGCCACATTGCCCGATGTCAGGATGATATAACGATTGACATCCGTTGGGTGAGGGTATACCGTATGTCTCGCGTCGACTCCAACGTTCCCAATGTACTTCTTGAAAATGTCCTCTTCGATGATCTTCCGCGCATCAAACGCCTTGTCACAAGAGTCCTCCTAAGCCGGCAACCAACAATCACACCCGGTCAGGAATATGTAAATGTCACATCCATCATTTACAGAAATGAGACATACCGCGTCCTCATTCAAATCAAAGAGGCCCTGCCCAATGGCCTGGGACTCTGAGGGAGCTGCAGCCCCTGAGGGAACCGGTTGGCTTCCAAACGCTGCCCTGGCCGTGGCCACTTGGGCCTCATGACGTTGCACAGTCGCTGCAATCGAATCGTTGCTTGCGGCAAGTTTTTTCTCGTTACTGGGGTTGGCCATCTTGAGGTACACGCCACCCTTCTTCACCCCCGACTTGATGATTTCTTGTATCCAGGCCAAAAAGGTAGGGGGATCCGCAACCGATTGGGATCCTGTCTTGAGCCAATTGGGATTTCGGCCCATGTACCCAACCCAGCGGATGGAAGGTGGAGACGAGTGTGTACAATGCTCAAGCAATTCCGGTAACTTTGGGTAAGGGCCGGTGCATTCGGTTGACACAAGATGTTGGAATTGGTTCAAGTTTATCGTCTGGCAGTCAAATGAGATCGACATGTCGACGTCCGACTTGAGGGAGGTCCAAACGGTCTTCTTCTGCTTATTCTTTTTAGCACAGTAGATCAGAAAAGTGATATCGCACTGGAACATGCGCGAACGTGGTAACGGTGGTCGACCGGATGAAAATAGCCCTAAGGTGGGTAACTGCTGCCCCTTCTCGACCGGCAAAACTTGATGGGCCAAAGTGGGACCGTGGTGGTGAGCCAGCGAAAGGCGGGGCTGATCTTGATCGGGAGAGCTGTCATTCCAGGCCGTGGGGGTTGAAACAGCCGGTCCGTTGGGAGCCTGCGGATTGGCCGGCCAGTTGCAAAACACCGAAGGCGCCTGGGATGCGGGTGGAGGATACTCACTCAAACGTCGAGTCGGAGGCATTGAGTGAGTGTACAATTGGGAAGCCGGTGGGAGTTGGGCAGCATTTGGAAAGCCATGAGCGAGCGGAGACCCTGATCGATATGAATGAAAAGACCCATCATGGTCATAGGAATCGGTGGTATCGCTGTAGCCAGGCATTTGTCACAGGAGTGCAACGGGAATTAAAAAGCAGAAGCCCCAGGGACAGTCCGAATTGATTGATCGACCGGGATGGATGAAACACGTTGAGGATGATTGATGGTGGTGGTGGCGGTTGGACGCGGCAATGATTGGAGGGAGAATGGTCCACACTTGTGGGTTGAGCACGACCCATGGCATCAGAGGATGATGACACCAGTGATCAGTGTTTGACACATCACGAGGTAGAAAAGCTTGTTTGCATTGGTCACAGGCGGTGTGCCCAAGATTTTCAGGGTCCTTGATTTCAGAAAATCCGGATTTTCTAAAATTATGCAATCTGCCAACACAAATTTTTTTCAAAAAGTTCCAAGTTTCTTGGAAAAGACAATAGCTGTTTATCCACATCAAACAATGCAGATACAGAATTGACTCAGAATTCTCCCTTCATCTTTTGTGGAGGTTGAAGCAGTCAGTTTTGGGTAGAGATGTCCCTGTCGAATCTGGATATCTGCTCGCTTTTTCAGCAGAATCAGACATCCAAATCTGCATCCGCATCCGCTGGCGGATATCTGTTGGCCACAGCGGGTATCCGTGGTGTGGAACTACTCTTGGGATGAATAGAGCTGGAGATGGAAAGATGCTCTAATGGGCTGCCTCTCTGGAAACTGGGTTGAGTAAAATAACAAGAAAAGATAAGAGTGTGGACTCTTAAGTAAAGGTGTCAGACTCTATGCTACTAACCTGTAAGGGTTGTGCTCTGAGTGTTAACAAGAATGGTAAGTGAGAAGGTTTATTCGTGGTTAAATCCCTCAACCTGTAAAAGAAACAGGGAGGAGTCAGTGAGGAATGGTACTTCTACTGCTGACTCATCCAATTATTCAATTAGGCATCCGGATCAATCCTCTTGCATGGATTAATAGGCTTCCAAGGTGAGGACTTCTTCAACTCACTTGGGATAATTCTTTTAACAACAATTCAGATTAATAAGTGTATCAACACTTAAGGACCAGAATTGTTTAACCTGGGGGATAATTCTTTATGCAATAGAGATAAGTAGAAATGCCTTGAATCTGAGCAAAGTAAATCTATTTAGGTCTAAGGTAGCTGATTTGTAAGGTTATTGGTGGTTTGAATCACTAATAATCACGGTACAAGTGTTGGTTTGATGCTACTAGAATTTCCTGGGGGGAAAAGGTAGGAATCTGAGCTCCTTAAATATTCTACAGGGGGCTCAGGGGAAGAGGAGAGGTCCTCAGGGCACTAGGGAGCTTCTTAGCAGCTCTACAATTTCGTGTAAGGATGGGAGCTGCAGCTGTGCATTTCTATGCATGGGTGGAAGGTCCTAGGACATGAGATCATACATGCATAATTGAGTTTTGTGGCCTATTTCTCACGTAATTGAAAAGGCTACAGTTACTGTGCAGGGGCTGTGCAATTGTAGAGTTGGTTGCATACGTGTAACTCTGCTTATGCAAGCTTGTGATCATGAGAAATGCATGTCCTTCATGCATAATTCAGTCTTGCATGTAGAATTTGGGCTCCTTTCCCGTGTAGGCTACTTTGAATTATGCAAGCTTTGAATTAGAGCACAAAAGGGTCCTGATGACGCCATCCAAGAGGGTTATGATGCAATCTGATGCCCTGATGATGTGATCAAGGATGGGTAAGCTTCAGATAAATCTATATAGCTTATTCCTCATCCATTTCACGCTTCTACTAGCTGATTCTTATACATATGTAATTAGTTTATGGCTTATAAAATATGTACATAATGTATAAGAATAAATATTGTTTTAATATCTTATTCTAATGCTATTTCTGTGAAATCCTAGTGATATTATATGTACAATACTCAAGGGGATTTCACAGTTAATTATAGAATTATTAAATATAAATTATGAATTAAGATTAAATGTAAATAGATATTTATTTATTTATTATTTTAACAACAATGTATAATCTTTTCCTGTATTCAATTATATATTATTATTTGCAGTTACTAGGTACATTTCACGTACTGTGAAAGGTGCTCTGTGGCTGACACTTCCTCCCCCTAAAAAAGGAAATGATCTTCAAATCATTTTCTCCAGTCTACTTATGTAATGTCTGAGGAGTCTATCTGAGTCAGGAATTTTTTCTACTAATGAAATATTTACTTCATGTCTTTTAATATATCCACATGGTTCATCTGCTGTTGCAAAAGCTAATTCCTTTTTATCTAATAATTCAGAAAGTTGCTCTTGTTGAGTATTGTCTAGTTCTGGGTTAATTTTTGCTTCACTAATGGTTCCAGAAGATGTTGAGTTGTCTGTATCAGTACATTCTAATTTTTCTATGTTGTAAATTTTCTTAATTTTAACTTTTTTTTTTCTTCTAGTGGAGGAATTACTACTCTTACATTATCCTTCTTTAATGGAAATTTGAAAACAGGGTTTTAAATGAAATAACAGGAAATGTAGGGTGTTACTTAACCGATTTCAGTAAGAATAATTTCCACAGCTTCTTCCTATGTGCTTGTTTAATTGTGAAAGGTCCTGCATAAGAGTAACTAAATTTATTTGGTCCTCTTGGTGGTAAGCTAATAAGAAATTCCTTGTTGAATTCACACCATCTCTCTGTGGGTTTTTCAATTTATCATACAGTGCTAATCTGTTTTTTATGAATGATGTCAGCTAGGGTTCTTCTATGGAGCTGATCAAATGATTTGGTCTGAATTTATTTTTGAAGAATTTCTACAGTGGTGGATAATAATTTTTTTATTATAATTACAACTTTATCTATCTTCATCCCGGAATTTGTTTCCTATTTTTGTTATATGTACTTGATTTACACAAAGGATATCATTATTATTATCAATCATATAGTTATCTTCTATCATTGTATTATGAAATATCATCTTCAGAAGTGTCTTCAGGTAAGGATTCAGGTTCTGATTGATCTGAGTTTGAAAAGTCTACTTGATTATCTTCATGGATCATGAGAGAAATTTTCTTATTGGTTTTATCCTTTTGTGGGCACTTAGTGGATTTATGTCCTTTTTTACCACATTCATAACAAGTAATTTCTTGAGTGTCCTTCTTAATTTCTTCATTCTTCTCAGTAGTCTTTTCTCTGTCATAATCTTTCTTAAAATTCCTATTTTTAGATTTGTTATTTTTTCTTTTCACACTTACAATACTTTCTAGTTGTGTAATAAAGAGTGTAATTTCATCTGATAATTTTAAGGCTTGTCTCATCTTGTATTCAGTCTTATGGTCCAATAAAGAAAGTAGTTTATCATTTATGTCTTCTATGGAAATATCTCTTTCTATGGCTCTCAGCCTATTAACTTGAGTAGTTACCCATTCACAAGGTTCTTTATCTCCTGTGACATCAAATTTATCCCTTCTGAAGGCAATTTTTACTTTCCTTTTCCATTCTGGAGTACTGAATTTTTTGATGATTTCCTCTTTCCAAAAGTCCCATGATTTTCCAATTCCAACTTCTCTCTTTCTATTAGTATACCACGTGTTAGCTACTCCTGTTAATATAGAAGTTAATCTAGAACAGATTAATTGATCTGGTGCTGAAGTATCTTCTTTCAGATTATCAATCCAATCCATGAATTTATAATGGTCATATTCTCCACTTCCTGAGAATGTTGGCCAATCTCCTGGCTTAGGTAGGCTTGAAAGAATTAGTTTAGCAAGAGATTTATCTTCAGTATTATTTTCTGCATTGGTAGGTGTATCTCTGTCCGTGGTTACTGATTGAGTTCTTCTGATATTGGCACTTGGTTGACTCTCTGGTTGGTGATTATTTGGACTGTTGGTAGTATCACTTAATGTTGTGGCCAATTGTTGATGAGTATTCCTAGTGGGAGCTTGTAATGCTGTATGAGGTAAAATAATTTCTGGTGAAGGAGTTTTTCTCATATGTTCTTCAATAGTTCTAGTAAGTTTAATTACATTCTCATCTGACTTTCTTTGCATATTAATAAGATGATTAATTTCAGTTTCTAACCTATTGATAGTGCTCTCATATGTAGTGTGTTGAGAATCAATCCTAGCTATACTCTCTTTGATATTTTTATCCATTTTTACCTCTAATACAGACATGTGCCTCCTTATTGCACTTAAATCAGTTTCCTTTTCCGTGATGGAAGTCTCAAGATTTTCTAAGGATGCTTTGAGATCTGTCTTAACTGCATTACTGATTTGTGGCACAATTGTTTCTAAATTAAGGGGCTCACAGTATAATTTCTCAATTGTTTGTAAAATTTGTGATAATGTGGAGTCTTCTTCATCAGACATAGTATTGACTCCATTCTCAATTTTCTGGCACAAAATTTTAATTTCATCATAAACTGTCTGATTCATTTCTACGCATTTTTTACTGATTTTGTTAATATTTTTAATGTAGATATCAAAAGCTAGGTTAAGTTGAGAATTTTGTGTACCAATGTTAAGAGATTGGGTTCTAGATGTACTAATTCTAGGAGTATTTAGAATGGGAATCTGTCTTCTGGGTGCATATCCATCTGTCTTCTCTGTTGATGGGCTATTTTCCCTTGTTCCAGGTGTTGATAATATCCTTGGAGAGAGCGCGCCATTCTGGTCATCTCCTGGTAGATCTGAGTTCTCCATTCTCTGTTTCTGTTTATGTTCCTGGGGTGACGGGAGTTTCTGTTTCTGGGAACTCTTGGGGGGTAAGGATTCACATCTCTTCTGGTGGGAGCTGGTTCTGGGGGTTGAAAAAACATTCCTGCCGTCAAAGTTCTGGGATCCCAGCCTTTGGTCCTCCTGAGAGCTAATTCCTCTCCTTGGAGTTGGACCATAGCAAGGAAGTCCTCCTGGCAGTATCTTAAATGGGCTACTATGGCCCTGTAGCTGCTCCTGTTCCTCACGTCCTTGAGCCAGGCTTTGTTTTCCTTCATCCTGTAATAGTATCTTTCGAATTTCTCCGCCTGTGGAACTGTTAACAGAAGATGTATCATTAATTGATTGAGTTTTACTATTTTTCTTTTTATTTCTGGGAAT